TAAAATTTTTCATCATTAAAAACTAAATTTCCAACCACGTAAGGGTAAAGAGCTCACATTCATAAACTTAATCCAAATAACATGCCGATAAAATTACAAAGAAATAAAACTTTTTCAAAATAATTTAATAAGAACATCTTAAACTAATCCTATCTATGCCCTGATGTCACATGTCCTATCAGAGCAAAGTCCAACATAGAAGCCTAAGTTTCATCACCAACATCCTCAGCCTCAAGCTGATAATCACCTGTATAACAGTCAAATAAAAACAACACGAGAAAAGGGAGTGAGAAATATCTCACTCTAGCTCACAGTGTAGAAATATACGTCGGATAGCCAAACACAAACAAAACAAGTATAACATAGATAAATTAATAATAACATCACATCTCACTCATCCAAGACATAAACCATCACTTTATCATATAACATTAAAAATGCATAAGTATGGACACTGATTACATATTATCATGCATGTGGCGCCAGTAACATATCACATGGCATATTACTGCTAGCAATACATGAAGAGTAGTCTAGGAGTATATGCCGGGTCACACCCTCTGCGCACTCTCATTATAAGGACATACTACCAGAGTCTCGTCGGGATAACTAAGCTGCACAAGATACATCCCATGCACACAATGGGCGAGACACAGACTTACAAACTGAGCTATCCCCAAGGACTAATCCCCAAAGCTTTTACACTAGGGGGCCTTCTCTGGCGGTGTATTGCATATCGTACCCTTAAAAACATTCATGCACATGATGCATGTCAATCAAGACTCCATGCTTTTCTCATATCACATTTTCATGTCGCATTGTCATATCACATTAAAACATCTCATTGTCATATCACATTAACACATCTCACTGTCATATCACATTATCACATCTCATTATCATATCACATTATCACATCATATTCATAATTTTCACAGAACACTTTAATTCATATTAAAAATCATCTATTTGCAAAATTAAACATATATTTACACTCTGCAAACATTAAGGAACACAACAGAAAACTCAGAAGGTAAAACATAAAATATTTAAAATTTGTCTATTTCTCACAGGGTTCCCACAGGAACCCACAGAGCACTCTAATTCATATAAAAAATTGTTTATTTGCGAAATTAAACACATATTCATACATCTCATACAACAAGAAATACAACAGAACAATCAAAAAATAAAACAGAAAACATTCATATTTTGCCCGTTACAATTACAAATGCATTCTCTTAGGGTTTCCATAGGAACCCAAAGAGATCTTAAAATTATACATTTATATTTAAATATAGGAAAAGCAACCGAAGGAACATATATAATTAGGAAAAATCCCACATACATGAGCATACAACAAACAACAAACAACAAACATAGGATTGGGAGCCAATCCCACTACCCAACATACATTCTTACACCCAGAGCAAGGTTTCTCACTCCCCCCTCACCTCGATAAGCAGGAGCTGAATGACCCGTTTCAAATCCAGAACGGCCCGTTCTGGACTAATGCGTCATACGTAAATTTCACATCCAGAACGGCCTGTTCCAAAACTAGAACGGTCTGTTCTAAAATTACATATTACCTACAACAACCATGTTTGGAAAGGCCCGTTCCCAAAGTGGAATGGCCCGTTCTGGAATCGCGTATTACTCATAAAATCATGTGTTGGAACGACCCATTCCAGTCTATGGTTTAAAGGCCATTTTAGTAGTTTGAAACGACCCGTTCTAGTTTGGGAATGACCCATTTTGGGCTACTAAAAAAATCAAAATATTATCAAAAATAATTTTCATAAATATTTATTATTAAAATACTCATAAATATTAAAAACCTTTAAAACATTCTATAAAATCCATTAAAATATCTATAAAAAAATAACCTCCATAAATATAAAAGTAAACAATACTAGTAGAAAATTCGGGATGTTACATAGGGTATCCCGTTGGGGAGGGTTTATGTTGCTGGTGAAAAAGAAAAACGGGAATATGAGGTTGTGTGTATAAAAAACTTAAAAAGGTAACCGTAAAGAATAAATACCCTTTACCTAGGATAGATGGCCTTGTGGACCAATTGGTTGGGGATTGTGTGTTTAGTAAAATAGATCTAAGATCAGGAGACCACTATATTTGTAGCAGTTTTCATAGATGATATCCTTCAATACTCCAGGACTAAGGAAGAGCATGTCGAGCATCTTAGGATAGTGTTGTAAACCCTTAAGAATGTAGTTGTATGCTAAGTTGAACAATTGTGAGTTATGCATATATACTTTGAACTTTTTGGGTTGTGTAGTATCTAAGGGAAGGATAGTTTCCATATTAGAGTGGAAGACACCCAAGTCTGTCTTTGAGATTTAGAGTTTTCTAGGACCAACTAGGTATTATAAGAGGTTTTGGAGAATTTTTCTAGGTTAGTTTTGCCTTTGAATAAATTAACTAAGAAGAACCAACCTTTTGTGTGGGACTTTAAGTGTGAGGAGAGTTTCTAGGAGTTTAAGATTAGGTTGGCTAGTACACCTATCCTAGTGCTACTTGACCCTAATAATTTTTTTTTAGTATATCGTGATGCTTCTAAGACGGGTTTAAGAGGAATGTTTATGTAGAAAGGGAAGGTAATAAGTTATGCATTTAGGAATTTGAAAGTTCATATATATATATATATATATATGAGGGAGGTTATAATTAATTACACCGGTGTAACTTTTACTAAGTATTACATCATTCAATAACTTTATATTAATTGTGAATTTTGTAAATCCAACCATTAGATTGAAAGTTCGTATCACTTTATACATGTATATCAAATTTTGTTAAAATTGAACAACAACTTGAAGGTAATCAATGTGTTCATATTTTAGTGTATTTTGAAATGAATATATTACGTCAATTTTATTTTATAAAAATAAAGTATCATATCATCTTAGATTAATATAAAAGTTTGTATATATAATTTAAGATATATGAACTTTCAATCTAACAGTTAGATTTACAAAATTCACATTTAATATAAAGTTATTGAACAGTGTAATACTTAATAAAAATTACATCGGCGTAATTATAACCATCCTCTGTATATATATTGATTGCACACTGTTAATTGATTCAAGTGACAATAGGTTTTGACTATATGAAAATATGTGTGTAGGAAAAGTTTATGATATGCGTGGGCAAGTTCTTGTAGCAAACAATGCATTAGTCATTTTCCATTTTGCTTGTTGCTATTGACCATTCCCTAGGAGAATATCAAGATACTAATGATGATTATAGATTTGTTATGTTACTTACATTGGAAATTCAAGTTACTTTTATAGACATCTAAAAGTTGTTAATCCATAATTCCATGACTTGAAGGTTGTGTTCTTTTAATTTTGTCTTATTGTACTTTGATTATTATAAGTGATACATGACAATTATAAGTGATACCATATTCATTTACTTTTTACATATTGCGTTGTTTACTTTATTTTAAAAATCTATGAGCATGTATCTGAACTTATGGTATATGTATGCACTCTCTGTAATCCTAGTCATTACTCTGCAATTCCTTCAATAACCTTCTATAGGTTCTTCTCTATAGGTATTCTTAGAATTTCAGCATAATAAAAACTTAATCCTTGTTTATTTTTAAAAGTCTTCAGGTCGATTTCAAGGTTCAACTCAAATTCTTCTTCTTTCTCTCACCTCTTTCTTATTTAATTTAATTAATATAAATATTATTTATACTATAAATTTATCTACAAATATGCTCAAGTATCACTTCCGTATTTAACTTATTGTAAAGTAAGAGTAATTTAAAAAATGATGAAAGGCTTTCAATTTTGGCATCACACCAGTCCTCTTCATAAGCAAACAAATTATAGCTACGGGTGGATATTAATTTCAGTATAGTCCTAGATTTTCTTATAAGGAGTAGTGTTTAGTCACATTATAGATTTCAAGCTCCAATATTTTTCATTCATAGTTTTCTTGATCTACTAAAATGGGAGTGACTATTTCAACTATACACTTGCTTTGTTTCTAATCTTTTATACTTGTTTGTTTGGATTTTGAAAATTCTAATAGAAAAAAGTAGAATAAAAAGAAATAAAAACTAAATTTTTAAAGTGTTTGAATTAAGGAAAATAAGGAAAAAAGTATAAGAAAAAGAAAGTAAAGATATGTTGTAAGAATATTTATCCTTATCTACATATTTATATAACTAATGGGAAAAAGTACTTTTGTTAAAAAAAAAAAGAAGAGAATAACAATTTTATCACTTTTGATTATTAAGAGTTATGTATAATTATAAAAAAAAAAATAAGAAAGAAAAACAGTGGACACCGAATAAGAAAATCACTTTTATTATTTAATAATATATTATTATTAATATAGATTAATAACATATTTTGAGTGAGATAAGAAAATAAATATAAAGAAAAGAGTTAATACTTTTTTATTTATCGTTATATATATATAATAAGAGAAATTTATTTATTTCAAGAATAAATTTATTTT